TTGCAAAAACCAATTTAACAAATTGGTCCTTAACATCTTGGATAACTTCCAACATGTATAAATAAATGAATTCCAGTAATGAAGCATTTCCTTTGAAGACGAAATTTATACATGAGAATTCTCTAGAAAGAAATCTTATCTATTTCACAGTGGGAGTGATTATAAAGTTAACTATATAGCATGGTTTAAATGGAATTGTGAAGAATGAGGTTAACATAAAACTAAAAAAAAAAAAAGGTCAAGGGCATATATGATAATGTGAGATCATTTTTAAACATAGGCTGCTTAACTCCCAGAAGCCACTTTAAAGAGAAATGCTTACCGGTCCTTAAATATCACATTTACATTGTGTTATATTGTTACATGCTTTACTGTAATATCTTTTTCATATTAATATATAACAGAAGACAAAATGTTATATAGTGTTTTTCATAGAGTACTTAAAGATACATACAGAATGACATCAAAAGAGAGTTAAATAAACTGTTCGTTATAATGATTACATTCATGGTCCTGCTGGAGTCCGGTCATTTTCACAATTATTTATTAGTAACTAATATGGGGCATAGAGCAATCCAGCCTCAAATCTTTTATGCCTGACACACACACATTGAATGGCCATACTCAAATATGTTCTATTTTGTATACCTGTCGTTCCTTATGTACCCTTGAACTTTATACTTCTTCCTTTCCCTTGAATGCACTTCTTCCCTCCTCTTCTCTTCCCCTGAATAAACTGGCAAATAGCTACTCCATTTTTCAGATTCAACCCTAGACATCACACATGTCTTCCCCTCCCCACCAAGAAAGAATTGATGATACCCTGCCTTGGGTTATCACTCGGCAACAATGCAGGCTTATTTTGACATGTGTAAAAACATTATTAAACTGATATTCAATAGATCCACCTCTTCATCCTAACCATGGTTATTTCTTCCCAGGCTGTCGGTATCCAGTCAGATGACTGACTGCTGATGCATGCTATGGTTTACCTAGGACTGTCAGTTAGACTATTGCATCCTTAATAATAGGTTATATTTTTCAGCATCAGGTATCAAGACCCCTTAATTTGATTAGTCGTATGTGGTTTAGGGATAGTTTAAGATATACTAGTACCTTCAGAGACTTGGATTTTATCTGTCTGTCTAATCTTGAGGACTTATAAAATAGATAATGTTGAAATATCACATCCTATGGAGAAGCTCTAGCAAGCACAATAGTTTGCATAAAAAGGACAGAAGTGTATAGGCATTATGGAGAAAGAAAACAAGTATGAAAGAGAGAAATCATATGTGGACAATAGAGTATAATATTAAAAATGAACTTCATAGGAGATCCTGAAGTAGAAAACCTATGTACTGCTAGAATGATGAACATTTAAAGAAATAATCTAGTTTAAATTTAATAAAAATAATTAAGATTTCAGATGATGTATATTCTGATATATTAGTTTATTCAATATTATCCCTTCTAGACGCTGTGCTTGGTGAGAAGCAGGGATTATGTTTGGCTTATTCAGAATATTCTTTCACCTACAATATAATTGGACCCATAAGAAAATCTCAATCATATTAGATGAAAAAACTAGATCAATTGCTTTGTGCTGAGCAGTATTTAAAAAAAAAATAAAAAAATCCTCATAAAAGCATATTGATGAAACTAAAGAACATAAAATACAATAAATATTGGAAGCAACTAAGAAATCATAGATTATTTACACAGCAGAAACAACAACATAATTATAAGCAGCAGCAGGAGAATGGGATGAGCAGCAACAGAAATGTTTTTTAAGTGAGAAGGTACACCAATAACCAGTGTCAACAGGTGGTTTTGTCGATAATAGAAAGTCAGCATTCAACGATGTTATTTCCTTTTCCTTTCTCAAGGATTACTTTCTTTTTTGAGTTTCATAGGTTTTATTTCTCCCAATTTTTAATACATGTGATCTGAGTGTGTATGTGTTTGTGTGTATATGTGCATCTGTGTGTGTGTGTGTGTGTGTGTGTGTGTGTAAATGAGAGAATGCATACTTGTGTGTATTATCATAAGTTATGTGGTTATTTTTTGGATAAGAACATAGAGCAAATTTAAAAGCACGGTGTTCTCGGTGGAAGGTAAGAAGGCCAAAGTGTGTTTAAAACTCTTAATATTTTATTTTATTGAAAAGATATTAAGTGACTTATATGAATATATAATCTCTGAAATCTGAATAGAAAGATGTGGCTCATAATATTGTCATTAGTCTTTATACTATTTAATAACTAAAAATGAAACCAAAATAATTATGTATTGTGATGCTGTCATATGTTCCTAAGACCTAAAATTAATGTTGCATAAGCCAATTATGTATAAATTAACATGAACTTACAACTTTTAGTTCACACTAACCACTATGTATTACTGAAAATATACATTATTTTAAGTTACTCTTCATTATTACTTCTACAGTTTTTCACATACTTATTGTGACACTGGTCTTCTGAAAGTAAAAACTAATTTACACTACTTTAAAAAGACTAATATCATATGATTTCACTCATATCTAGAATATAAACACAAAACAAGAACAAACTCATAGAGGCAGACAACAGATCAGCAGTTACCAATGGAGAATGGAGCTGGAGGGAGGACAAAATGAATAAAGAGGGCAGGGCGATCTACAATATGGTGACATGCCCTGAAACAAACAAACAAATTTCTAGATTAATGAAAACTAGAATTTTGGTGGTGAGCACAATGTAGGATGTACAAATTGCATACCTGAAACTTATAAATGTCTAAACTTAGAAATATCCAAAATATTACTTCTATTAACTTTCATTAGAAACTGCTTTTAAATTGATTTTAAGTATGAATATAGGCATTTGTTTGAGTTTAGAAATAATAATCATCAAATTGAAATATTTATTTCTTCAATTTATATTTGAGCAAAACAGAGTAAGTTTTCATTGTAAATTTATTCCAGGTTCCTAAAACGTATACATTTTTATTCCTGATGGTTATTTTCATGAGCATCATAAATTTCATTTTTTATCATTTTCAAGTGAGACCTTGCTAAATTCTGTCTATGGGAGATTTTATTCCAGCATCGAGTCATATTAAAAAACATGAAAAGGTTTAAGTTGGCAGGAAACACATGAAATCAGCAAAGTTGAGAGGAACATAGTAGCATTGGGGGAATTTGAGGAAATGCTGCTTACCCAGCATCACTACTGCGGCTGCCCAGAGGCGAGTATAATGAGGCCACAATTCATATCGCATAAAGTAGTTTTGTAATTACCTTCAAATGACCAAATGCTATGGATTTCTAAGGAGAGCTGCATATTTCCAGTAATGAACCAATTTACAATTGACTGGAATTTTTATTTAAGGCATTTTTTGAGCAAATGATATTTAAATATATGTTACTTTAATACTATATCTATACTGGTATACAGAGTTGAATCTTAGGAGCCTACTTCAGAATATAGAGTAGTGATAAAAAGATATTAATGATAAAACCTGTTAATCTTTAAAAACCTGCTTTGCTTAAAGTAAAAGTCCTATATCTAAAATCTAGAAATATGACAAATAACTAAGTTTTAGATTATACCATAAGAAGTTTATTTAGTTAAGTATAGAAAATATATTTATTTAAAATAAAATATAATTTAATTTCTTAATGGTGAGTAAGAAAAAGAAAATACTTCCTTTACTGACTTGCTACAGTCAATTCTTTGCTATCAAACTGACTCAAAAATCACAGCTTCTTTATTACATACTAGGGGCCCAGTGCACGAACTCAAGCACCTTGAAAGGAACTGTGGGATGTGAGGTGGCAATGGCACAGGGGCAGGTCTTGGCCCATCCTCCATACCCCAGCCTGGCCCCTCCCGCCACAGCCCCCAGTCCCCTCACTGCCAGCAGCTCTGCTCCACCACTGACACTCCCACGAGCTGACAGTGCTGGCCCTGCTCGAACCTGCTGAAAGCATGGAGCTATTGGGGCCAACCCCAGCAGCAGGTGCAAGTGGGGCTGGTGCTGTCAGTGGGTGTGAATGGTAATTGCTGCCCTAATCACCCCTCAGGAGCAGGGGGAGGTGGAGAAGTCCTCAGGGGCGATAGGGGCCAGCAGCCACTGCTCACACACCCACTGATGGTGACAGGTGATCAGGGCAGGCACCAGGCACTGGCAGCAGGTGTGAGTGGGGCTGGCACTGGCAGCAGGGGCAAGCACCAGCGGGGACCACGGCGCACAGGAGCAAAGAATTTTCAGTAACCACCAGAGGCTCACCCTGATGACAGCAACTGGTACCCTGCCTTGGTCTGGCTCTCCGGCTCTACCATACCACCACAGCTGATGCCCGCCATGTTCTGTGCACATCTCCTGGTGGTCAGCGCACATCATAGCGACTGATTGTTCAGTTGTTTGGTTGTTCTGCTGTTCAGTCTATTTGCATAATAGGGTTTTATATACACTGTACATAGATTTTTTTAATTAAATTAATTAGGGTGATTGGTTAATAAGATTACACAGTTTTCAAGTGTGCATTTCTATTATACAAGCTGTACCGGTTAATAATGCGGATTTTTTTTCAATAGATGGAATGACATATATGTTGATATATATGCGATTTGATATGTATGCTGTTTTGTTGTATTGACAGCAAGTTCAAAACATATGTCAAATTTGCTGAAGGTGTTAACATCATAGATATTTTTATGCTTAAAAATGTCAAATTTCATGCCAAAAAAAAAGCATTTGCAGGAAGTTTTACTTCATTACTTTATTTTGAAGAAAAAGTTATAGTATACTTCAGGAAGCTTATGGTGAACATGCTCCATCACAAGATACTTGTGAATGCTGGTTTAAATGCTTTAAAAGTGATGATTTCAATGTGAAAGACAAAGAACATCAAGGTCAATTGAAAAAGTTTTAAGACCAACAATTACAAACGTTATTGGATGAAGATGTGTGTCCAACTCAAAAACAACTTGGAGAAAGATTAAATATTGCTCAACAAACAATTTCCTATTGTTTACAAGAAATAGGAAAGATTTTAAAGGAAGGAAAATGGGTGCCAAACCAACTGAACGAAAGACAAATGGAAAACCGAAAAGTTATCAGTAAAGTGTTGCTTCAACAGCACGAAAGAAAGTCTTTTTTGCATCGAATTGTGACTGGTGATGAAAAGTGGATTTATTTTGAGAATCCCAGATGCACAAAATCCTGGGTTGATCCAGGTTAACCATCAACATTGACTGCAAAATTACCTGAAAAAATGGGGGAAATGTGTAGCTAGCAATGGACATTACTTTGAATAAAGCACTTTTGATGTTTCTCTTGAAATTATCATGTTTTCTTTGATTACAAAATCCGTATTATTAACCAGTACACCTGGTACATGATCTTCATATTGCTCTATGTGCCCACCACTCAAAGTCAAATCATCTTCTGCTACCATATATTTGACCCCCTTCACCCTTCCTCTGGTAATCACCATACTGTTTTCTGTGTCTATGAGTTTTTGTTTGCTCATTTTTTTTTCCAGTTTTATATTCGACATATGAGTGAAATCATATGGTTCTTAACTTTTTCTCTCTGACTTATTTCACTTAGCATAATATTCTCAAGTTCCATCCATGTTGTCATGAATGGCAGTACTTCATCTCTTCTTATGGATGAGTAATATACCATTGTATGTATGTACCACTTTTTTTTCATTCAGCTATCTACTGAAGGACACTTTGGTTGTTTCCATGTCTTCACCACAATGAACATAGGGTACATATATCTTTGCAAGTATATGAACCAGCAGTGCAGCTTTGAATAAAAGGTTTTCCTGAAACCTCAGAGTGTCCCACTGTCTCTTCAGCACCAATTCCATATTCCATAACAAGAACATCAGGCAATTTTATCTTGGCAAATCCCAAGACTACTGACTTCTTTGTTAAATGGGTGAGATAAGCTATCTATTCTTCATAACATTACCAATTTGCTTCTGCTAAGCTTCAAGAATATTAATAAAATAAAGACATTATATGCAAATAAAAATGATAGATAATACTATTGGCAGGCAATCACTATCCTATATAATAAAGAAAACAAGAAAAGTTATATAATCCTATATAATATATAAAAAGTTATATATATCCTATATAACAAAGAGGTAATATGCAAATTGACTATCACTCAAACACACAAGATGGCTGCCTCCATGTGGTCGCTCCCATGTAGTCAAAGATGGCCGCCACAAGATGGCCAGCAGGGGAGGGCAGTTGGGGGCGATTAGGTCTCCAGGGCAGGGCAGTTGGGGGGGACTGGGCCAGCAGAGGAGGGCAGTTAGGGGTAACCGGGCCAGCAGAAGAAGGCAGTTGGGGCCGACCAGGCTGGCAAGGGAGGGCAGTTAGGGGTGACCAGGCTGGGAGGGGAGGGCAGTTAGGGCAATCAGGCCGGCAGGGGGGAAGTTAGGGGGACGACCAGGCTGGCAGTCAGACATCCCCCAAAAGCACAGGCCGAGCTGAGGAACCCCTCCCTCCTCGCCCCCACACCCCGTGCACAAATTTTGTTCACCGGGCCTCAAGTCCTATATAATATGCTGATCGGGCCTAAACAGGCAGTTGGCCATCATTGGGGGGTCTCATATTGGAAAGGGTGCAGTCTGGGGGTGAGGGACACCCTACTCCCATGCACGAATTTTGTGCACTGGGCCTCTAGTATATATATAATTTTTCATAAAGAAGGGATTGAAACTTATGAACACTGTACTGGTTTGATGATATTAAATTTTTAAACATGAATTTTCATTTTACAAATTAGCATAAAAGAAAATGAAAAAATAGTGTTATTTCACCACTGATAGGTAGGATTTATAATTGGTTAAAAAATGCTCTGATTTTGTACTTATTTTTGCTCCTCTCATGTTCTGGCTTAATCCTTTTGTATTATTAGCCGTTTAGCTGGTGGGTTCCATAGAATTCTCTTTGCCTGCTTCACTGGTGGGCTCATGAGGTTTGCCTTTTGGTGCTGTGAGTGGTTTTAGCTATATTTGTTTCTCCCTCTCTTTTGTCCAATTGTGATGATTGTTTTTAAATTCCTCAGATGAGTGTGATCATGTAATACTTATCTTTCTCTGGTAGCTTATTTCACTTAGCATAATACTTTTACACCCATGCTGTTGCAAATGATAGGAGTCCCTTCTTTTTATTCTCACATAGATTTCCACTGTGTAAATGTACCATTCCTTACTCCTCTGTTTTATTCAAGCATGATCGGTATGTCCTGTCCCTGCCCTGCTCATATCTAACTAGGTACTGTAACAAAATGGAGCGCCCTTTAGACAGACTTGAGCCTCATGGAGTCTAAGTAGCCAGAAGTTTAAAAAGCTTTCTATAGAGATGTTGAAGTAACAAGATATGTTCAGTGGAAACTGATGTCATAATGCAAGAAGGTAAAATAAATAAGCACAGAATCTGAAAAACAAACAAACAGAAAGAACATTTAATTAATTTTAAAGGCCCATCTAAATGGATTCATGTTTGTGATAGGGGTATGTTTGTTTGCTTCTTTTCTGAAATTTCCATTATCTTACTGCGGTTAGCTACCATTGTTACCAGAGAAATTGGTGAGCCAGATTTTCCTGTTGCACATGGGAGGTGAGTTCTTGGGGCACTGCTGAAATCAACATTTTCAGAAACCCCCTCAGGAGAATGAGATGTGAGAGGCTTTATTTGTGTGGATTTACATTCCTCAGTTTTCAATGTCCCAGGCCCCTTAAAGGAGTCCTGAAAAGGGGGCAGTAAAGCCAGAAGCAAAGCCAGTGTCAAAGTGTCCATTCCATGCTGGAGCTGGGTCCAGCAGAGTGTCAGGCTAGTTAAAGTTCATCAGTCCATTGTGTGGAGTCCACATGGCCCTGGGCAACGTGGGCAAATGCAGGGAAGTGCCCCCTGCAACAGGAGAGCAAGGAACCTGGCATGCAAGAGAGCTAGAGAGCCAAAGAACCCAGGGAGAGCACTTCTTTTGAAACCAGACACAAAACGGGCCTGGAATGCCTGTCACTACTTGAGTCAAACTAAGCAGAGACAAGGTTAAGTCATAAATGAGCATTTATTCCAATAATGCTGGCAATATGGAGAGAACAGCAGGTAATCCTGTAAATTCTGCTGTAACACCTACTAGGCTGCTGATTCTATGGGGGTAGGGAAGAAAGGCTACATGTCAGGGGGGAAGGGGAGCAGGATGCGGGCTTTCAAGTCCATGGTCTGTATGTCTCCTTCTGAAATGTGTTTTGGGGACAAAATAGGCAGATTTGGGGAATTTTATGAATAAGGAGGGTCCATGGGAGAGGAATGCATAGATGGAGACTTGAAGACGCCAAAATATTTCTTACTTGTACAGAGGATAGAGAAGTGCTATAGGCAGATGGAAACATTCCTGGCCTGAGCAATTAAAACAGCCATAAACCAAGGACAGACAGGGGTATCTCTGGCCTGAGCAAGTAAAATGGCCATAAGTTAGACCAACAGTAGTTCTGACCTGAGCAGCTGGGAGAGCTATAAGATAAGACATCTCTGCCAGCACAACTGGGAGAAAACCACAAGGTAAATCAAAAGTGATGCCAACCAGAAAGACAAGAGGGAGAGAAAGGGTGGGGGCATGACATGGGCTTTGAGCTGTAGCAGAATGACCAATGAAGGAAACATGGGGGTTCCAAATTAAGGAAAGGGACCAATAAGAAAAGGTCAGATTCAAACAAAGAACTGCAGCATATATAAATCAGAGACAAAGGGACAAAAGGCAGGACTTTTTGATTTTCCCATTAGAGAGCGAGCGAGCAGGCTTTTCCCATGGGGTTTCCTCTGGGGGCACCCCTGCCCAGATGGAGTTTGTATCTGCTTCCATCCTATTATTATTAAGCGTCCTCTCCCCTATCACTTTGTCCAGGAGTTTAAATATTCAGGTTCAGAGCCCTTGCGGTGGATGAGCCTATTCTGGACACTGAGTTGCTCCCCGGTGTGACTGGCAGGTAAGCATCTTCCCACATCACCCAGACCTTCACTCTTTTATTATGGAAACCTTTTTGTCCATGACTTTAGTCTTCAAACTTCGTGAGGACAAGAACCACAGGAACCCCACTTTTCACTTCAGAGGATCTTGAAGTCTGATAAGGTAAATTAATTTTCCATTGGATTAAAACCCAATGCCACCAGTTCCTGGGATGGGAGAATGGTCAGCATCCCTGAGGCAAACTCCTGGAGTGCCAATCAAGGTGCATCCTGTCCTTTGTTCTCAAAATGTATTTCCTTTTCTGAGCAATGGACCCATCTAGTCCCCAAGGCCTCTCTTTTTACAGCTGTTTTACTTCTTGAAGCACATTCTCCAGTTTCGCAGGGCAGGGTCTATAAGAAAACCTCTTATCCACAGTGAGTCATGTGACTAATCATCAAATAACTGTAATCCTATTTTTTTTAATATATATATATATATATATCACTCTCTATCCACCGAGCCACACTGGCTGGGCAATGTATACACCCTTTGAATGATAATAAAGTCCGTTTTTATTAACATACTAGAGGCCCAGTGCATGAATTATGCATGGGTGCCTAGGCAGGCATCCAAACTTCCTTTGTCCAGTCCCTTCTCCCATCCATCAGCAGGGAACAGACTTGCAGAATGTTAAAGTACAGCTTTCTAGCAAAGCTGTATAAATAAATGGCATGCCTATATTATCTAGTCTGTTCTTTACTCCTTTCCTGTTAAATAATAACCAGGTTATTGCAATGGTTATCACCACGAATGAAGAAGACTCCGTAAAGTTACTTTACTACAGATGCAATTTTTTGCCATGAATTTCTTGAGTTTTGGGTCTTAATTGGGTTATGTAGGAATAATATATGGAAAGTATAGACTTGTTGACTCCAGTACATAGTAGAAGAACTATTACTGTTCACTATACTGTTCAATCTTTCTTTTGTTCTCCCATTTTTTTTTCATCCTTACAATTTTTTTAATCCTTTTGTCAAAGCAAAC